AACTAATCGTAATAGTTGCCATTGTAAATTATACTGTTGTATATATATATATATATATATTAAAATGTATTTGTGTCGAAACAAAAATGGTGTGAATCAATCTTGTTGGCAAATAGTACATGAATTAAATAAAATATCGGCATATTTCTAGACACTAACTCCAGGATACAGTTCAGATTTTAGGGTAATAATTCCATAGTGTGTTTGATTAAATTTGTTTTATGTGATTCCATGTACAGAAAAAGAAACAAAAAAACCTGTAACCCAGCAAAGAGGTACAGTACAATATTATATACACTGATAAACATAATTTATAACAGATTCATTTTTTGCTGCAACTGCATTTATCGTGTATCATTTCAACCACATGTTAAACTAATGTTATGTCATTATAAACAGTAATATTCACTGGCTCTATGAGAATAAAGATTGACAAAATGTCAAAAATTTTACCAAATCATAAAAGTAAAGAAATTTATTAGAAGTATGATATTTTCAAGAGGAATATGACTATTGTATCATAAGTGTAAAGATGTCAAAAAGCTTTGTTATAATTGAAATTTTTTCAAGGTAAAAAGAGCTTGTTTGTTCAGGATACTTCTGAGGAAAAGTAATAAGCACCAATTTTCTAATCTCAAAGCACTATACAACTGTATCACATATAATTTGAGAAGGAGGTGATACTGCCACACATACAGGACCAATTATTGGCTACTAGTTAAATGTTTACATTTAAATTATAATAACTTAGATCTATTGCTTAATGTGGGAACTTCTTGGATATATATATATATATATATACTTAAATATTCATATACATGTTCTTAAGCTTTCAGTAAATGAAACGTAGAATGAATTTCACCTAAACATAAGTTGAAACAATGATTAACTGAAGATTTTATAAAAAAGCATGCAACTTGTAATTCAGAAGTAACAAAGAGTTTTCCTAGCATATCTGGAATGTTTCTGATTACTTCCATGTAACATTAGAACTCTAGATCCCCAGTTTCTGATTACTTCCATGTAACATTAGAACTCTAGATCCCCAGTTTCTGATTACTTCCATGTAACATTAGAACTCTAGATCCCCAGTT